GAATTTATTATAACATGCACCCATATAGCGATTATTAAATATTAAAGATTCAATAAATTAAAGAATTTTTAGTTTAATGTTCGAAACGTGTTACATCCATCTAAGCAAACACAAAAAAAATAAAAAAAAAAAAAAAAAAAAAAAAAAAAAAAAAAAAAAAAAAAAAAAAAAAAAAAAAACACCAACGCACTACTGTATAATATGGAGGAGCATGAACCCCTAATGTTGCTCTTGAGTCTTGATTTACTAGCTCCGTAGTAAAAAAATTCATGCAGAGATATTTTATTATCGCACGAACTTCAATTTTATCCATTTTTAAGAACACATTCCGACACGACGCATGCGAATAACTTCTATTTTTAAAAAACGAAACAGAATTGATTGCTTTTTATTATTTTTATATGTAATGACTGGTCTATGTCATCCAGTTTTTTTTGCTTTCTAAAGAGATTGTATATATAGCATTATCACTATTAATTGAACACCTCTAATATATATAAAAAACGAAAATACTTCCCAGAGATTCACAAATGCGGGCAAACTCTTATAAAAACCGAAAATAAAAATCGTTTATTTAAATAAATTTCAGGTTACTACTTTCCTTAAAATAGGTGAAAAAATACTCAGTTTTAGAGCTTTTGCGTCTAATTTTATCTCATCAATGAATATAGGTACGTATTTTTATTGTAAATATTTTATCCCACGTACTAATTACATTTCATTTAAAGCACACACCTGGTACACTTATGCAAGCAATCGCTAACTGCCGACTGGACTCGGTCGCTTTATCGTATGGACAACCTTCCACTTTGATCTGAACGAAAAGGAGCTCTATGGAGTCATTTCCTCGCCGGAAGGTATGTCCAAAAAATTATAGTATGCCCCCATGCTAGAGAAGAAAAATAAGAAACTTTTTTACTGGTGGTAGGACCTCTTGCGAGTCCGCGCCGGTAAGTACCACCACCCTACCTATTTCTGCCGTGAAGCAGTAATGTGTTTCGGTTTGAAGGGTGGGGCAGCCGTTGTAACTATACTTGAGACCTTAGAACTTATATCTCAAGGTGGGTGGCGCATTTACCCTGTAGATGTCTATGGGCTCCAGTAACCACTTAACACCAGGTGGGCTGTGACCTCGTCCACCAATCTAAGCAATAAAAATTTAAAAAAGTAAGAACCGGGAGAAGTGGCAATTGCTTGTGAGGCGCACAACATCTGCCCACAGCATTGATACTGAATGACGACCACGACCGCTCTGACAAGAGTGATACGACAAAGGAAAAAAAAAAGCACAGAAATAGCTTGTATAGATTTTCCAAGCTCTCGATCTCACGGATCATTATTAAGCTTTGAGTCTACGAAGCAGCTTCGGTTCTGTCTCTGTACATACCAAAGAGTTCCAGTTTGAGAATTTGTTTGAAAACCCTACATCTCTATTTTACAATCAGAGCATCCGCTGGAACTGGAGCAGATTTCATTCATAATACCTACGGACCAATCGACTCTGGAAATAACCACGTTTATTTCCTGAGCGCTATGACATGTCCTTCTTCAAACAAAGATTAAAGTTGTACCCTACTTACTTATTGAGAAGCTTTTGTAGAGATTTGAGCTTAAACGCGGTCATTCTGCTTATTATAATATTGCTCAGCAGTAAAAGTATTGTTCAGTACTATATTTTTCTGTTAGTCTCATTGCTTACCACTTAGCAAGCTACATATTTTAATTTTACTACCGTACAAATTTTATGTTATCAGCTAAGGCATTACTACCGTTGCGTCTCTTAAGGACTGCTAGTCCCAACTCATCTTTTAGAATACGCGAGAGGGTCATAAAGGCTGTATTCATTTCTTTATTTTAAAAAAATGCTATTGAACAAAAACTCTTCATATTCATTATTCACTGCTGAGACTGTCTTTTCAGTAAGAAACACTATATGGAAAACTAAATTAAAAATAGAGGATGTTATATTAAACCTAATAATAGCCCGGTACCAAACTATATAATTTAGTTCGAATATCATTTGTTTCCATCCACCTGCTTGAATAATGCCATAAAAACCTCCGCTTCTCTTTACCACCCCACTCAATTTCAATACCACAAGAATTTTCGAACATGTACAAAATAATGAATATTCATAATAAGAGAATGATATTTTCAATTCACACTGTTACCCCTAATAATAGAATAACAAGCCCTAAATAATCTGTTGTATGAGTATCAAGTGGCCAGTCAAGCGTCCCCGCGAATTTACATGAGAATAGAAAACGAACTGTCCGAGCCAGGTTATGGTAAACTCATGACAACCAAAGTTATTTGATGCGTTATAATATAAACTCTGCGATTTCCTCTATAATTCAGACCTAATCTTTTGATTATTTATCAAAGAGAAGCATCAACATTATCCAAATTTAATGCGGAACAGAAATTACGCTAAGTTAGCATATCTTAATTACAGTGGGTACCTACTCGCAGAGAATGCCTGATAGTCGGAAAACTTCGTGTTTCTCTTTCGTAGTTTATTCTTATAAATATTTTATTTGACGGCCATTTGTGAGGATGTAGATTAATTGAAACCACCATAGGGATACAGGGCATACCACCTAAAGGAATTAGAGCGAGAGGGAGAATATTAGTAAATTACATGAATCATTTCACTATATTTCCGTAATGATTTTTATTTTAAACCCATAACCAAAATTATGGTAAATAAAGAAGCTCTAAACAGTTTAGTAGAGACATCTAAAATAAAATAAATATATTTATAATGGTAAAAACACTTCTTCGTTTGTTATTGAGCAAATTAAAAAATTACCTGGCAACAAAATAATTTTAATTTAACATTTATAATTAAAAATTCATAATTAAAAGATTAACATATTCGAGGTAAATGAGAAATAGATATGGAAACCAAAATTGTTTAAGCCATTATACATGATAATACAGAAGACATTGATGAATAAACAATCTTTAGTTAACGATCACATTAACAGATTAATATGTCATTTGCAGACAGTTACCAAGGTTAGATGACCGTTTGTATAAGATATCAATACATATAAATGAAAGAATGTTCAATATAACTCATTTTGTTCCAATTTTTATTAGGTCTCTTGTACCCAAATTTGCTGCTACTGGTATAAAGCTTTCAAACTGAACGTTTGCAAGCCTCTCGAAACTCGCCTCCGCAGACGTTCTTTTCATTTAAAATGCTTGAGCATTATCGATTTTTTCTTAAGTTTACATAAAATTTTAAAGAAGAAGTCGAAGGCGTCGTTTTTATTAATTTCGAAAGACTTCAGGGCTTTGAAAGAGTTACTCTATACTATTTTTATTAATCTGTGTATTTTACGTAATGTGTCTGGTTTGTGCCTAATTATATTTCATAAGGTTTTTGTTTCTGTTAACATTTAAAATTCTGCTTTAGTTCGATGTTCCTGGTTTTATTTTATTATTTACAGAAGAAATTTAAAGTTATATATTTGCTCTGTAGGAATCGACCGTTGTCAAACATTGCAAAAATGAGTTCCATGATCTTAACTAGTTTTTTCTGCCGCAAAAATTTTTAGTCATGCTGGAAAATTTTTACAGCCGTTATTGAGTCTTCAAATTTATAGCTCAATATGGGCAGCGGTCACGGTCTCCGGTAACACACTAGATCAGACCAAACGTGAGCTCGTCTGCCAAACTTAGCAAAACAAAAATACAACTCTTATTTAAGATTTTACAAAAATTCAACTGAGCGATCACACGTGTACGTTAATATAAAAGCAGGTATAAAAGGTAAGACATTCGTCAATCGTTAAAACAATGCAATTGAGACATTGACATTGATTGATTTTATTTTCACGGATAACGCTATCGTTAACAACTTCGTACCGGATAGACCGAGTTTGGTTTTAAACATTTATGACTAGAAAAATATCTACATAAAACGAATTAACAACCAAAAAAGCAAGAATATTCTAAACCTAAAACGTTTCTTTATTTAATTAACAGATTATGGAATTTGCTTTTCTTTATTTAGATTTATAAAAATGTGTAAATCATAGAAATTCTGCACTATTAAGCTTTACCGAGGACAGCAAAGGTCATTTCGTTACAGGTATTATTGTTGTTTATAAAATACATCCACCCTACGGATTGTCAACAGAAAACGTTTGGGTCTCGTCTAAAACAAAATAACAATATTTATCACTGCACGTTATCAAACTAAATATTAACTATTTATGATAAATTTGATATAGGTCGAAGCAACATTTTTGTAGAGATAATCTACAACAGATGTAAACAATAAAATAATGCTTTTGTGTAAAAACCTTAATATTTGTACTTTCCACTATAAAACTTCAAGTCTGTTTCAAAATAACAATGTTATATTGAAATTAATAAGCTGTTATCCAATTTTCCACATAGCGCGATTTTCATCGATCGAAAGGTTTCATGTTTGTAGATTGGTACCTACGGGTTAGCTTTTGATTGCTATTTCAGTTTGACTCTAATTTGAAATAAAACAACGGTAATATAATTAAAATAATAATACAATTGCTTTAAAAAAATTAGGTAAATGAAAATCGAAGGATCGCTCTTCGAGAATTTATTTTTCCTTCAGCGTATATATATATAATTTCCATAAGCATCACACCCGAGCCTAGAGACACACCTAAATCAGCCAGCAGTCTGCCAGTGAAGCAGCAAAAATGCCGGAATCTTGTTAAGGTTAGTTAAGTTTCAACGTTCACCGCGCCATTAAATTAATTTCTTCTATTGCACAAAACATTATGCAAATAATTCAACTTATTTGTATTAACTAGAATAAATCCATAAAACTACTAGTTCCATTCAAGAATGATAAAAACAAACTAAAGTCCGTCAAATAGTTTCGCATGCGAGTTGCGTGTTTACTTCGCGGCAACTTTTTCGGCGAGTTTTCTCGGGCTTCCTAGTTTTTTTTGTTCAGTTTTATTTAAAATTTAGCCTGAAAAACTATTATAGAAACTTACCTGGTGTTCACGGTGCCTCCATTAGTTAGTTAACAGGTGGCGATCGCAACAAGTCGAGCTTTTAGTTCAAACAGGTCGCGAGCGTGCGGCTGCGGCGGCGGTCCGACGGCGACACGCGGTCGGCTGAAGAGGAACGCACGCGCGACTTTCACCCCTCCCCCATCGATTTTCGATGTACTGTGCCTTAGGCGCGGTATTTACTAATGCAGAGAACAGCCGAGTGCTGAGGGCTCCTCCTTTATAACACATCTCTAGAAACACTGCCCTAACCCTAAAGGTTAAAGGTATATCGCGGTTGCGAACACGCTAATCTAAATTCAACACTGTTCATAATGCGGAACCCAGTTGAACGACAGCGACCGTTACAAGAAGTTTGCAGATTAGTTTCAAACTACAAACTTTGTTTGAACCGAATGCTATTGCTTCGCAGTTTTCCGTACTATCTCTGAAAATTGTAAGTCATTTGTGTGTTTTATGATTCGAGTTCCAGTAACTTTTCATTATTTTAATTAATCTATATTAATAAATTTTCAAATAATATCAACTTTTTTGAAATTAATTTAAAAGATAACACTTTAATTATCAGTGTTACAGAAATAGTAAAATTTGTCGTATTTATTACGCTTATTTAACAAAATATTTTATTAATTTTCGTAAATTATTGAATATTCATCTGTATATTAAATTGGTTTGTGTTATATATATTTATAGCAGCGTCATTCATGACTGTACGAGTTCTAAGCCTTCTTGTGCATAATTAATGCGATACGATCCTACATGGAATGTTAAATGAAAACATGCATATAGGTACATATGATATGAGTTCAATATTCTTTCACAAAAATGTTTATGTTTTTGCTTAGAAAAAATATTGAAGTAGCTAATAAAGTAGTCTACGGGTGTGATTAATTAATATTGTGATAAATAATATGAACTCGGAATGGGAGGTGAGATTAAAATTATTAATTAGGTATATGCTCGGTAATCGGTTTTATGTGATTCCATGCGTATGTAGCCTAAAATATGATTTTAGAGTAATTAATTCATGTTTCAATAGAATTACTGAGAATTTACGAGATTTGAAAACAAAACTATAAATTGAAAAATATTTTATATTATACATAACGTAAGTTTTTCGAAATGGTTCCAATGACTAATAACTGTCAAAGAAACTATTGTAACGATTTTTTTTATCACGGATCCAAAAGATTTGTTCCTCCCGGGTCCGTGGTCCTACTGGATCCTGTTTTAAACTTAAGCCGCCCGTTAACCTATACAAAGACACACAAAAAAATTAATTAAAGCAGGTCCTTTAGAATTATAAAAACATCTTATACAAATATGTATTAAGAGTTACATTAACGATAATTTCTAGATCATGAACCTGTATACGACTGGGCGTTGCATTTTTATCTATACAAAACGAGCCCTTTGTCTGTTTGTATAATAAAGTATAAATGCATTATTTGCTTCGATACATTTTCTTACAATTATCTATACAAATAAATGAAATTAAAATGGTATTTAAAACTATTTTCGCGGTTTAATGTCACGTTTATTATTTTCATTTTATTAATTCTTATGTTTCAAAAGAATTTATTAGTTTTTAATAATTAAGTAATATATATATTTTTTATACGAAAAAGAGAGTAAATTTAGGTTAGGTAAAATTAGGTTTTATTGTATTTAACTGTTGAAGCCGTTGGACCTATCAAAGAATTCAAAAATTCTGGTTCGCCAGCTGATGCGAATAGCCGGCGCATTGAGCCATCTCCTTAGAAGAGAAAAAAAATCACCGGAGCATCTACATGGAATTGGTGGAGACTTTGAAAGTGGCAAAGCTGCTGATGCGGTTGCTGCGTGTAATATGACCAAATTCTAAGATACCGGAGATCTTATTCCAAGCGAAATCCAACTCGACGGGGACCCACCCCCTAGTCCAGGGAGATGAAGACGTTGGTCATTGTTTGTCAATAGCGGCCGATATTCGTGTTTGGAGCGTATTGCGTCGCTATACTTGTGTCATACAAGAGGGGAAACCCCAATGGCTGGTCAACAGCACGGTAACTTCGGAAAATACCTGCACCTAACCATATATACACCAACGGCAGAGTGCCATCACTGGCAATGAGACGGGAACAAGACTGACCGCAAGTCTGCCTAAAAATTAGATTGTAAACAGTTAAAAAACAAAGATTGTGCTCCAAAACCAAAGAGAATGTAATTGATCACTATGTCCTAAAATAAAAGCCTTTTTGGGCGAGTTACGTAGTTTGAAAACCTTAACATCAATGTCAAATAGTTGTTTTGACTCGTTTACTAAAAATAAAAAATGGTTGTCTCAAAAATTCTTGTGCCATTCGGGTCAAGTTCCCAGCGGTTCGGTAAAATCACGGTACATCCTGGTCTAGATCCCAGCGGACTCTATACAATTAGGCCGGCCGGTTGTGACCCATGCCTTTATAGTCCTCAACCGTTATACAAAATTTTCGAAGTTAACAAGAACCGAAAAGTAGACAAAGATCCTTGGAGATATAAAAGCGAATTAGAAGACTGGGCTAAAAATTTAGGATACAGAAATCAAAAAGTGCTCGATCTCCGTAAATGGCAAGCTTCACTCCTAGGTCCTGCTTGGCACGAAATTTCCGAACCCCAGAAATATGAACCAGCTTGCAAAAATCTTAGCTTCGGGAGAGCTCGGAATAAACAAAAACAAAGTTCAGTACCTGGCCCAGGAACTTACTATAAGGAAACTCCTTTCAGAGCTCCACATGGTTCGCATTCTACGAGACCAACATTTGAAAGAGAGGAACCCTGCAGATTTAAAAACTCGACTCTTAACTGGTCACTAGCACCTAATAGGTATAATATTATAGATAAAAATGCGATTGACCAGAAACATAAAAAAGTTGTTTCACTTAGGGGCCCTTATGACTTATTTACGGGCAAAAGAGACAGTAGCACAATAAAAAACCACTTCAACACTTCTCTCAAATGTTCCGCTGCAACTTGGCCGCTGGCCCTCAAAGGTAGTCTTGATAAATATGTAAATTCTCACTTAGGCGTCATGAATAAAACAAATAGAAGTCAGCCATATAGAGGCAGAAATGCGCTCGTGGATATCGTTATGTCGATACGACGACCCGACGATCCAGGACCGGGACACTATGACGTTTTAAAACCGAAGTTCTTTAAGCGAAACAAATTCGGGTTCAACAGTTCATACGACAGACCTCCTGGGTACCAACGTGTCATAGTTTGGCCCGGAGTCGGAAGATACTCCGTCAAAGAACTTGGCTGCGGTATTATCGGACAAGGACACAGGCATGTGTTCTTGAGTAAGCAAGATCGAACAATTGGTGCGATAATTCCTAAGGCAATGAATTCTTTTTGAGATACCTATATATATATTTTTTTTTATCCGTTTATAAGACATTTTTCCGAATGATTTATGAACAGTTTCGGAATTCGAATTTAAAGTTTACTCGTTTATATAATGTGTACATTTAAAAAATATATAATATAAGGCGTTTGTTTATTAGTATTATATTATGCGTTCACGCGCTATCTGATTGGAATTGAAATTATGTGGATGTTGCCACTTCAGGCAAGCTGTGATCTAGTGCATCATCCAACATACTATGAGTCGCACGCGAGTCGGTTTACGGCATTCAAGAAACGAATTCCTTTATATATTGAACACAAGATTGCTCACAGAAAACTATATCCATTCCTGTTACAGTAAGTTCTAAACGAGATTTAATTGAACTGTTACTGTTGTTGAACAATTGTTTGATCAGCAACTGATGTTTAGATAATATTACACCTTTACACCACCAAACTATCAATAACGGTGCGAAAACTTTAAATTTTTTAAATGTGTACGTATGCCAACTGCGTTCATACCTAATAATACAGATCCAATAATGCTTTCAAATTAACGGTTTAATTCAAATTATGGATTGTTGGCTTCTTATTAAATTCTTCTGTAGGTATATTTTATTTTTTTAAACTAAGGTTGTGATTTGTTTTGTCAATTAGCATTATTGCATTCGTTTTTTTTTTACATTGGTTAATAATTTTACATCCTCTAATTTGAGACGACATTAACTAAATATCACTTTTATTAAATCTCTAGTTCTGGTGTGGTGTTTCTACACGTTTATTCATCCACGCGAGAGCGAGAGATCACTGCTCCTAAAAGAGCACCGCGCAGAAAACGGGAACAGTACTCTTTTTGGGATACTGCTACAAAAAATATTATAAAGTGCAAAAACTACACTGAAAAGAAAAGTAACGAAATATAAAGAAAGATGTCATTAGAAACGTAATTTATAAGTATACTCCTACTTCACCGCAACCATAGTTGCATGTTGTTAACAACTCTACTAAACAGTATTATTTTAGAATGAAGGTTAATAAACCTTCCAATTATGCTAGATTTTTCAGTAATGTATTTACGAAAAAAAAAACTTTAAATATTTGTCACAAATGTTCATTCGAAGTTTTCGTAAATTCAGGCTTCGTGTTTCGAGATACATCGAACTTTAACACAATTATTTAATAATACTTCGATTATATCGATCCACGTCGTTGCGTATAAATAAACAGTTCATATAAAAACGATAACCTGAGTTTTATATGAAAATGTATTTTTTTAAACTTACGTTTTCATAAACCTAACACGCCGTTAGTGCGAGGACAGTTTGTATTTGCGTTCCTGACATTAAAGGCACGGCAATGAGTTTCGAAAAATCAACTCTTACTACTATCTAATAAAGAACATTTTGTCTAAATAGGTATCAATTTAATAAAATAAAAACAAATTCAAAATTTTATTGGCCATTTGTATTGAGGAACAAATCTAAATACATTTCACAAATTAACAATTGAATATTATATTTTAAACGATTTACCAACATTTCATGTATTATCATTAAACAAAGATTTAGTTGTGTAACAACTTTTAGTTTTGCTCCCCAATCTCCATTACTTTTTTATTGTAATGTTTCATCGATAGTACAAGATTATATTATATTTAAAATATCTTATTTTACACTATTTAATGACTGCGTGTCGTGCGAATTTGGAGCCCTATCGATTCACGTTGACGCTCAAAAATAAGTAAGGTCCAAAAACGACAACACAACGTTTTTAATAAAGTGAAATATAATGAATACACGAAACATAAATCGTAGCAAAAAAAAAATTGGAGCTTATATTTAATATTTTACTATCTGATATTGAATACGCAACGAATGTTATATTATTAAAATAGCATATTACAAATGTTATTATTAATTAATATTTTTCACATTGCTTGCATGACAATACAAACATTCATACCTAATATTAGTTATGCTTATATGTAACAGAGTTATACTCTAGATGGCTAATTCATTATCTACATTTAAACGTCACAAAAATTTAAATTATTCATGACAAAGCATCGGCATACGTTAAATAATAAGAGAAATCAATATATAGCTTATTGAGTTCATGGTTTATTTTTTATCTTGTAATTGGTAGTCAAAGCTATTTTTAGGCAACCAAAAACCGCCATTAACATTAATTACGATCCTCCCCGAATTTAAGTCCGCTGGTAGTCACTAGATACATTAAATAACAAATAGCAATTACATACCTTAATTACAAATTCAAAGCGTTTACATGTCGTATTGGGTACATAAAATAAAATCACATAAACAATTAGCCAAACACATTTTCATAAAAATAAAAAGATATCTTAAACACACGTAGGTCTTATTTCAACACTAAAAGAAATGTTTTAACATTCGCTGCACTATCCATAGATTCCGAACAACAACTTACATAAAGTATTACGTAATCCTCTACACACGCTTTTTTCATCTTCCAAGGCGATACAAAAAGAAAATGTATGTACACAAGGCCAAATCAAAGCATATTTATTACATAAAGGTCGCATACTGCGCACAAACTACGCATCGGAGTACTGACACTCATCATTGATGCGTGTTCAAACAGAGCGCAAAATGTTAACACACAACATCCTATCTCGCCTCAAAAGTCCAAATATAAAAAAGCATTAACATCATTCCTCAGTTTTGTCATTAATAAATCTAAACGATACGTGATAGCAAATCAAAACTACACAACCGATTTATTATTAATTTTAAAACTTGATTAACTCACATTACGTCAAGTAGCTGAACAGTAACTATCCAAAATAATGCAGCAACAATCAGCATAAATATATTATGTATATTCATATAATGTTAACAATGCCCATAAGTACCATGTTCATAAAGTAACTCAAGTATTGGACGAAAGACCTGCTTCCGTTTTATACTTAAATTATTATTATCAACTATTAAGTCGCATATAAGATACAGGCCAAAATTAAAACTGTTTAGGAACTCTGTTTACTGTAATTTTAGCAGTCCAACTTCAGCCAAAACTTTGTATATTATGTATTTTTATATTTGTATCGAATAGGTACATGAATTATCTTATTTAAAACAACAAAAGGAAAATTTATGCACAATATATTTTTTGTGAATATAATCTATTTTTCTCATTTATAACATACTCGTATTATGGCTATAAGAAAGACCTTTAAAAATTCCTTTTTTGTTACGAATGTTTCTTTAACTGATTTACTGATGCATTATATAACAATATTATTCTGTCGGATATAAAACATTTCATAAGAATGCACATCTAAACTTCTTTAGTATAAATCCTCAGTGCATCCATACTTCAATAGAAATATTATAAATGCGAAAGTGAGTTTGTTTTTTACGCTTTCACTTCCTAACAACTGCATAACCGACCATTATGCAAATTTACAGATACTTTATCAGGGATACAGAAAATAACATAGGAGATACCTTTCACCTAGAAAAACAGTACTATACCATACGGACACTTTTATTATTCGAACATTAACAGGGATGAAGCCGCGAGTCTAAGCTAGTATTTATTATTAAGCAGAAAGCTATCTAACACGAATTAGAATTTGCAAAATAATCGCATCCCACAACCACCTAAGGCTTCTCTTAAAAAATATATAATAGTTACTGGTACCTTCGCACCTTATTGACACCGCAATAATTTAAAAATTATTTAATAATATTAAAGTTAGTTTTTACTCTAGTTATTAAGACTCTCTAGTTAAGACATTTGGATACTCTTCAACAAAAGCCTGCTTAGTACACTGTTATTTCTTTTTTTTCCTATTCAAAGTTAGTGAATTTAGTTAGTGAAACTAGTTAATGAATTTTTCTTTACTAAATGGATTTAATAATAAAATACCTCCCTACAGCGAGAGAACATTGTAATTCTAAGCTCATAATATGGAAATCTATTTACAGATTAACAGTAATCATCATACTAATCTGGCTCAACCACATATCGGGAGCAAAGATACTGAGTCGTCAGAACGTAGATATACACCTATTTTCTGAAATCTTAAAAGAAGTTTGATTACATATTATTACTTTTTTGTTTTAAACATCCGAGTTAAGACTATTTTCTACTTTTTTATTCGTACGAAGTGAAACCTAATTTATCATTTTTACATTTAGTTAAAGAGTAAACAAGTTTTTCGTTTAAATCTGAATGGCCAAATACTAAATCTACCAGAAAAGATTGAAAGGAGCCGAGAAGTAACTAAGGATTTCTAATTTAATAAAATACTTGTGTTAACGAGAGAATAAAAGTTAAAAGATGCAATGTTTATTCGTGATGTGTGAACGCGGAGGATAGCATGTTGATACGGGTTCGAATAACGTAAGCGCTTCAATTAAGGCACAAGAGTAAATGGATACATCATCTCTTCAGATAACAACACTTCATGAGTGTCACAGAATGATCCAATAAATGAGAAGCGGCCAACAAACTGTCTCTTATAACGTATTTCATCCACCATTTCATTACTACTAATTGTACTCGATAGCGTGCACATCAGCGCTAAACAAAACCACCACTCACTTGCAGAGTTGTGGCCGCGTTCAATATACTGAGTGACAAAAAGCGAATATGCCAAAGTAAAAGTTAACCAAAATAGATTTATAATATATTTTAAAGAAATTAAATAATTAAATACAAATGTAAAACGCCCGTTTAATATTATATCAAAAACCCTTAAGGTTAATAGAAAATATAATTAAAGTCAAAACTAATATATGGTCAATGTTATTTGCAATTCTACATTCTACAATATGCCAGGGCTACAGAAGAATATCTAATTGATGTGTTATATTTTGTTCTCTTTTAGTTCAATTCATAATAAATAAAATAATAGTTGTTTTAATACAGGATGTAGGGGATCGATTGCGGAGTCGAAATTTTAATGACAGCATAATACATACCACATACATCAAAATACATATCGTCTTCTCGCATTAAAACTGTATAATCTCAAAACTTACTAATTTTACAGGAGAGTGTTTGAAAATTTAAAACATGCGACATTTTTAATATTAATCATCTTTGCAATATTTTTTTTACCAGTTACATTATCTGTCTTTTAAAGTATGATAAAATTACGTATTAATTTTGTTAATAGTAGTCAAAACATAGGGTAAACTAAAAAAACTAAAACTAAACTACGCTCTTTTGACAGTATTTATGAGTAAAATACCGCTGATACTAAATAATTCCGCTCCATATTAACTCAAATTCGAATATTTTTGGAAATTGTACACTTTAAATGCGAAAAGACGATGCGATCAGAACGTAAACGAAAAGCTGTCTCGATTTATTCGGTTTATGTGGCGGATATCACATTTATAATGTCCATGAATTCCGTGACTACTTTTCAGGATGATCCAAAAATTAGTCTACCCACCCAATGCAATAAATTTAAAGAGGTAAATAAATACAAATATTGTCTATTCAATGCGTTCACATTTTCTATGATCGCCACGTAAAATGTCACTTTAATCCGATAACGTTCGATTCCATGTATCACGTATCACCTGATTTTTAATTGTTTCATCACCTAAGTTTTATGATGACCACTTTTTAAACGTCTTAATAGCATCAGTAACATCGGTCTTTGATCACCGAGAATAAGTCTCTTAATGCCATACTTAGTACAAAATACTCATGCACTTAGATTATTTTAGTATCATATTTGCAATAGGCTGTGCGGTCGATCGATAAAAACGTTTTTATTTGAAATTCATTATGGTTTTTTGAGCATTTCTGCATGTCTTAGTTTTTCTTGTACATAAATTATATGAAGGGAAAGCCTACGTTAACATTACAATACATTATGGTGGTTATACTAAGAATTAAAAAAAAATTTGAAGCTCTTATACAAAAGCGACTGTTAACAATTTAAGAAAAATAATATCGAAGCATGATTATTAAAATGAAGATTTTATAATATATATTTCTCAAGTCGATAAATCAATAGTATTATTTGTTGTTCGTGTTACAATAAAAACATATTTAGACTACTTACAATTGCTAAAAAACTATATATATTCTTATAAAAATAATAAATTGTAAAATAATGTGTACCTGAATATATTTTAACCCTTAGAGCGCGAACTGTCGATAGATTTGACTCTCCATTAGTGGTTTCGTACAGTTTGAATATAGGTTCGACCTGTACGGGCGTATCTTAACGCGTATATTTATAGGTTTTTAATAAGCTATTAACATTTGTAAATAACCATTTAAAATAATTTGTGTGAATTTAGGATTCATTGAATTAAATTCTCGGCACACTTAATAAATGTACTATTTTCAGAAATTTCGGCAAAACATGTGAAAATAATCTCAGCACTAAAAGGGTTAAGTTACATCACAAACATTTTAATGACATATAATATAATAATAATAAGTCACAGTCTGAACAATAAAAACAGAGTTATTATTTTAACACAAAACAAATTGTTACACGTAAAACAAACACTTATATTAAAAACTTACAAATTTATTTTATCAACAAAAATTAAACAGCTTTTATAAAATGAAATTTCAAGTCTATGGTTTATGTATAATTCTAATAGAACTATTCGCTTATTCGGACACCGAGCACGTATTCAATAAAGTACAAATTCTCAACGACCCAGAAAAAAAAAGAGCAGCTTCTCCTTAGCGGATGGAAAGCAGTATTCACCAGATCCCTGACCACACCATCGGCTAACACAAAATACCCTTTTTTAAGCCTTGGTTTATGTTTAGTGTAATATTCCTATAAAAATCTATAGATAGACCCCGTCTTAATCTTGAATGAATGAATGAGAGTGAAGGAATAAATGAAATTCTTCTGAGCTGGTTTAATTTGATTAGGATGTCTTCTTTTGTAAACACATTTACCATATGGAAAAAAAAGTCCACAGGTTATCGTAACGATAGTCGTCAGAGCAAATGTGCCATCACAGAATACAGAAAGGGGGCTTTATAAGCGAAAGGGGCTCCAACAGTAGATATCCAAACTTCGCGAATTTGTCAAACACAATATTTAGTCTCTCACAGAATTTACCAAGCTGAGTATTACAAAAAAGCTGCACATCAGTTATAAAATTGAATCTCATCAAATATTTATTTACAAAATCTTTAAGGTCACATAATAATATATTTATTTTGTTATATTCCCAAAAATTACAGTTAGCAACTTCCATTAATTATTCTTCTTATTTAAGGATTACTTGTGGTGCTATTGAAAAAGCAAAACTCGGTCTAGATATTCATACCAGTGCTGCACAAATTGTACTGGATACATACTTTAATGAAAAACTATTATTTGTAATAAAAAGTTACTGAATAAGTTCAATTTTATCATTAGTTTAAGGATATTAATTAGTATAGTTATTATTGGAATTTAAGGAAAACTTTTAAAGTAGTGCCATCAATATATGATATGAGTATTTTCAAGAAATGAATATATTTTGTACTTTTAGTAGTGTAGTTACCGCGCAGCAGGAACTGGTTTCTCCAGTGTAATAATATAATATTCAATTAGTCTGAGTAATTTGTAAGAAGGAATTACTTGCACACTAACAACTAGAGATCTTAAGTAAAAGGGAATTTCCTTTTTTTTGCTGTCTTTGTAGGCAGACGAGCATACGGCCCACCTGATGGTGAGTGGTCACCAACGCCCATGGACGTCATCAATGCCAGAGGTACAGCCAAGCTGCTGCCTACAAAAAAATGGATAGTACTGGATAGTGCTTGGTTACTTGTATAGTCGTATTGGACCCCGCACGGCTAGGTACCACCATATTGTCTACTTCTACCTGTACTACTGTTATATACCACAATAGAGACTTCATCCTTTTAGCGGTAGACAGCGGCTTGGCTCTGCCCTGGCATTCCTGACGTCCATGAGCGACGGTAACCACTTACCATCAGGTGGACCGTATGCTCATCTGCCTGCTAGGGCAATAAAAAAAAACAAAAAAAAACCTTATAGCAAAGAGCGGCGGTCTTCAAGTTGAGATGTCTATGGGCTACGATAACCGCTGTTATCAGGTGTGCCTTGACTTTGTCCACTCATCAAACGCAATAAAGAACATAGTATAGGATGTTTATTTTTGTTCGGGACCGTCATTTTTGAGTCTTTACTCTATCTCGGCTTATCGTTACAATACAGGTACTCTTTTTAACTATTTAATATCATATTTAATTTCATCTACAAAGGGAGATGAACCTGCACCTCATTTTAAATGGTAAGTGTTTACTGACAACAATGCCTAAGACTCAGCCAACAAATTTCTACTGCTAAATACTTTCTAAGCCTCCCTTAAAGAAGAACATGTCATATCATCTAAAAATTTACGGAGATTCAGAAATCTCTGGAAACACTCTGGACACACCCACTCACTGGACTGTCACTGGACAAACCCAATGTTTCAGTTATTCTGGAAGAATTTTGCTTTAGGGGCATTGTGGTACACTAGAAACAAAAATGTAGCTTTTATAATTCATTGTAAATTTCTCTGTCCTATTTTGGGTAATAGTTTGGTGTGGTCATATAAAATTTATCTCTATTGTATATGTACTCGGTGCTTACAAATAACGCGAACCATAAAGGATGTAGCTTATTTTATTTCTTGTGCACCCTTACTGGTTTGCAAAAACTAACATTAGGAGGACACTTACTAGGGGTAGTCATTTCAGAGTCCATATTGCGATCCCAGTCAAGGATCGCAGACGTTCCTCATCGTTGCGGGTTTCGACGGATAGCCTTTCTCACCCGACGTACAGCTGTGTTAGGAGTCGGTGCAGTGCCCATCTTGAATTGAACCTGCGGCGTGGTACCCGACATGCCTCCAAAATTATACACACTAGTTTGACCCTGTTGCAGTTGTTGCTGGTGCTGCTGCTGCTGTTGCTGCTGTTGTTGTTGTTGCTGTTGTTGTTGTTGCTGCTGTTGCTGCTGCTGTTGTTGAGGAAGTTGCGGCTGTTGCAGAGATTGAGGCGGCTGCTGTTGCTGAAATTTATAAGGTACGTCTTGGTATGCGAATAAAACACTACTCTAGTCATTTTAGACAGATTAAAAATTACAAAAATGTAGTAACTACAATACTATATTTTTTTCGTAATCATACTAATATATACAAACTACATAATTACGCGGCATAGTATTTAAAGCATTAAAAAATCAGATTCTATGGGTCTTAGTGCGACGTTGGAGTGAAATCTCAATGTAATGGATTTATGAATCTCAACCTTTAAACCTCAACGAATTATGTTGGAAATATACAAGATTAGGAAATGTGGTTGCAGTTTTCCAGTATAATACTCAAAGAATGCTGCTAAAGATTGCGCTTTTTACAACACCCATAGGAGTAGTAGAAAACACACTGCTAGTAGAAGTTTTAAAACAGACAGTACCATTTTTACTGTTTTAACCAATTATTCTGTATCGTTTTATTTTTTCTGTGTGCTAAATAAGTTAATTTTGGCTTGTTTATTAATGTATAAAATATTAGAGTTATTATTACCTGTCCAAATCCAAAAACTCCTGGAGCTTGTGAGGCGCCGAAATTAAAGGTTGGTGTCAGTGCCGGTGTTAAAGATGGCATAGATTGGTTCTGGTTTCCAAAAGTTGGTGTAGAACCGACATTTGCTGTTCCAAATAGTCCCACAGAATTGCTAGGAGGTACAGGGCTACCGAAGATATTGGGGGCGTTTTGGTTCTGTGCTGGGCTAGGAAAGAGATTTGGTTGACTAGCAGGATTCTGTTGTGTTGCAATTCCGAAAATATTCTGCGTCGACTGCGTACTGCTGCCAAATACTGAACTCGTATTATTATTATTAAATGGCGATAATGATGATGGCGCACCAAAATTAAACGCAGCTGGTTTTTGCAAAGGATTAGCTGTCGTACTTGCTGCAAACAAATTAGAAGTGTTGTTTGAAGTGCCCCACAAATTTTCATTCTGAGTTGATTGTCCAAAGAATCCACTTGATACTGTATTACTAGCAGGTAATCCATTTCCACCTCCCAATGTATTTCCGGGTAATGCACCACTCGACCCTAGAGGTTTAAGTACATCACTGCCTATAGAATTGCTAACAGGCATAACAGTATTTCCAATTGTATTGCCATTATTAGGACCTATCATATTGCTGCCACCACTTAAAGCATTTCCAGTTAGACCATTGACAGTAGGAATTATGGTACTTGTAGGTAAAGCAAAGCTACTTGTCGAATTTCTGTTGTTTCCAATAGGAGAAAATTTATTTTCGAAGGTGAAATTCTCAGTTTTTCCCAAAGTAAAGTTGAATTTGGGTTTCTCTACAGCAGTCGAAGCTGGTTTAAAAGAGTTAGCAGTAAAACCAAAAACGGGGGAATTTGCCGTAGCAGGTTGGGATGTCGTAGTTATTATATTATCACTATTTTGAAATAATGATACAGTGGAAGCTACAGAAACATCACTTGCGGGAAACATAATAGAAGATGTGCTATTTTCTGGTTTTTGGAATAATGTAGAACTTGGTGTGGGACTCTGGAATACAGGCGAAGCAATTGAATTTTGAAAGGGTGATTTTTCAGTTTCAGTCTTCTTGAATAGAGAAGCATTACTATCAGTTTTGAATGCTGGAGTGTTAAATCCTTTTTGTTGAAATAACGAAGTTGCTGGTGCCTCCGTAGATTTCACTGTCGTTTGTACTGGTAAAGCAAAGGAAATTGAAGTAGTAGCCACAGTAGACGGGCTCTTAAACATGTTAGTCACAATATTTTTACTGCCCGCCGAGAATGTGAAAGTATTATTCAACAGTGCCTTTTCACTTTTTTCTCCAGATTGTGTGTGTAAAGAATTAGTAGTTGTATTTTTATTCTCATTTACAGATACTGTTGGAAGTGCAGTTACAACCGCAGGTTTATTATCACTTGGCTTTAACAAGTCATTTCCCAATTTAGGATTCTCAAACATTGAAGTATTGACATTTACTTTTGTCACTTCTTCTTGTTTGTCTTTTTCTCCATGAGAATTGCCAGCTCCTACTTCTGATGCAGTGGAAGCTTTTGGGATTCCAAATGAAAACTTAACTTTCGTGGCGTCAATATTTCCTTTAACATCATCAATTTTATCTTCAGATTTCTTAGAAGGCAAAGTAAATGTAAACATTGGAATTTTTTCCAATGTGTTACTTTCAGAAACTTCTGGATTTGTCTTTAAAGCAGCACTAGATTCCTCAGTTTTCTTAACTAGATTAACTTGTTGCTCAACAGGATTAATGCCAAACTTAAATGAAGTATTTGGATTAATCCCGAAATTAAAAGATTTTTTCTCTGGAACTGAATTGTTAGATGGCTCAGCTCCGCAGCAGACACACGATGTTTTCTCATTATTGTTCCTAACCAAACAACTTTGGCATTCCCATGTCAGATTTTTCTGTGAATTCACAGTGGAAAGTAAATCATTACGATTTATAGTTGATGCTGAAACATTCAAAAGTGAGGAATTATTATTTTTAAGGCCAGGCTTCGATCCACCACAAGCAGCACATTTTTCTACACTGCTCTTATTTGTAATCCAACAGTCATCACATTTCCAATCACCATCTGAAATACTTGGATTTCTTTTTTCAGGGGGCACTTCAGAAATTGTATCATTAGTGTTGGCACTGCCACAGCATTCACATTTAACTGCTGTTCCTTTATTCATAACCCAACAGTCATTGCATTTCCATTTTCTACTATCATTTGCCTCAGATACAACTGGTGCGGGTAGTTTGTTAGAATGGGCACTGCCACAGCATACACATTTTTCTATATTTGCTTCATTCAAAGCCCGACAATCATCACACTTCCATGTTATCTCATTACTTTTTATACTGATGGCATCTGCTTCTGATTTCTCACATGTTTCACATTTATCAATATGAGCTTGTGTGTCACTAAGCTTGCAAGAACACTTAGTCACTTTCCCAACAACACTTGACGGCCGTGTGACCCCACAACAAACACACTTGTCAACATCTTCTTTGTTTTGTACCCAACATTCAGCACATTTCCACTCTGGTTTTGAGTCTTTGAGACTGTTATTAACTTTCTGTACTGGAGTTTCCTTTGTTATCCAGGTGGTGTCCTTGTCTGTAGATTTCTGTATGAAATTCTCTTTTGTAGACCAAGCTGAAACTGAATCCTTGGAACTTTCAATATTTTTCTGCGCAAATGATTCCTTTGTTGCACCTACAACAGGAAAGTCATTTTGCTTATTGCTGGCAATAACTTTATCTACTCCGCGTTCCGGACTGCCGAAAGTAAATTTGGGTAGTATGGCACTTTGTGTTGAATTCTCTGTAGTTACTTTTACAGGGCTTGAAAATTTGAATTCTGTGCTACTTATTACTAAATCAGGTTTACTTAGAAATGCTGTAGATGAACTTGTAGTGGTTCCAGAAAGGGGGTTTGTATTTTGGGCTACAACCAATTTGTTCACTGATGCAGCAGGCGTAGATGTAGATATTAAGTTGGGCGTTGAGGAAAATGGTTTGCCTAAGGTAAATTTAGGCATATTATTTTTATCAATTTGCAAAACTCCTGTTGGCAGTTGAACTGGAGTCAAAACATCATCGAACTTATCGCCTCTATTTGGTCTTGTTAATCTAGTCTTTACTTTTGTTGTCAAATTGCTGTTTTGTTCGTTAACAGCTAATTCCCTGCAAAGAGAAATACGTTAACATTTCATCCATTTATATATTTTTATTCTGTTTAGAATTTAACAATTTAGGTTAAATATACAAACTTTTGTGTAATGGTTGTTGGATAAGGGCTAAACTCTGGCGCGGCACTACTATGTGAGGCAATAAGTTGTCGTGCAGCACTTGTTGAGTCCATTAAGCGAGATTTCTGTTTCACTCGTAAAATTGAAGCTATACTTGGAATGTGCAGTTCTTGAGTTCGGTAGGCTGGGAAAAAGAAAAAGAAAAAAAAGTGCTTGGTGTTTTATACATTGTCTAAAAAAATTAAAGGAACATTAACACTAATACAGGTAGCTAACTTGAATTATGTAAAATTGTCATAGGTTGATTCATGTGTATGGATACAGATTATCAATATAGTTCACCCAGAACAAGCCCAACTTAAGCCTATAGACATCACAATGTGAATACCCAAAACTCATCTTGAAACATGAGGTTGAACTCTGAATTGTACCATACAACAGGTGTTCCATACTACAAACTGGAACGCGTAATTATTTCATAAATAAGATAGTAGTAACTACCCATGCTGCATTACAAGATTAAAAGTCACTTGGTAACTGGACATTAATATCAACCCAAATCAAATACCTCAAATTCCCAAACACTCCATACCCTCAATTTCTTTACTCACCAGCTGGTTTAATTGTATTTGCGGTACTATTTATACTCTCATTTCTAGGTGACTTCTGATATCGTGGGATTCTTTTCGCTTCCGCCAATGGAGAGGAATATTGTTCAAGAAGGTCCATTATCTTTCTCGCAGAATTACTCATTGTTACTGTCTCATTAGCTGGAGATTCATTTATATGAGCGACTTTTCTTTGTTTAATATTGGGCTGATTCATGTAGGATGAAGAAGCACCCCCATACACGGTTCGTCCTGAGTAAAAAGGCGAACCAAGGAGACTAGCTTTGAATGATGGATTTCTATCTTTATGGACAGTTTTCATAGAATTTGCTAGAAAAATAAGAAAATATTAAAATTGTAATACTAACTTTTGTCGACTTTATTAATGTTTATTGTAACATTAGTAAATGTCAACAAGGTCAAAAAGAACGAACAAGTGAAGGACTGAACTTATCTAAAACAAACATTATGCTGAAAATACTTAGGTCACATCAATAATCCTCAAAAGTAAAGTATATTCATTATTGTGCCAAAAAATATTATCTCAAGTAATAAAGGAGAAAAGGCAAGTTCTAAATTTAACAAAACTATAGTAGAATTATTTTGTTCCTGCAGTTTGGGTCATAAAACATAGCCCAGCTAGGGCGGTGAACATGTTGCGCGGGCGCAACGCCATAATCGATAAAAACAAATGAGTCATCGAAGGCAAGTACACAGCGGCGGGGCGGTATACGAAGGGTGGTGAGACATTGTTATGTTATGAGTCATTTGTTGTACCTACCTGCAAATTATAGTACATATGTCGAAGAGAAATTTGATTTTGTGCATTGTAGCTCTCTGAATTTCTTTAGTGACACAATTGCTACTCGTTTGTTTTGTACCAAAACGGCAGAATTTATTCAAATATTTTGCTTTTTGGCAAAGATATACCAGCACAAGCACGTGTGTTAAAATTCAATCAACAATAACGTATTTAAATTTTTCACTGAAATGAGAATACATCCCGAAAAGTTACAGTGTTCATTTCTGCCGTTCTCGTTACTTACTGCGGCGATATGTGGTGTAAGTGTTCGATTAGTGATTTTTTCTTTCATTTTTATCACTAAACCACAAAAATGACAACTAAATACACTATCGATAACACTTATCGACAACAATAATGCGCATCACTATGCCCGTCCATAAAGCTCGTGAGTGGAAGAGAGAGCGAAATACTCACTGCACCGCTCCGATTTTTTATGACCCAAACTGCATGGACAAAATAATTCTACTATAGTGAAAAATTAGATACACTTAAAAAAGTCAGAAAATCATGGTGGAGGATGGAATGTTGACAAACAAAATAATCTAGAATCTACATTGGAAATCTACATCACAATGGATTGTTTATTCTTGCATTGGTATCAGATTATTGTAATGGCTAAGAAAAAAACCAAGAAGATCTACCCCAAATCTACCCCAAAGATATTGATTCTTACCTTTGGAATTCAAATTATGGCATAGTTATATTGCTCAATAATAACTTTAGGTAGCCCCTTTGATAATAAAATATAAATATAATGCAATTTAATATCAATTACCTTGTGCAGTCTCACTATTATTAGTAGATAATTCAAATATAGATTTCCTCTTCACAGCTACAGAATGACCAATTGTTGAAAGTGTGTGCTGTTTTTTAAATACTGAGGAAGAACTTGTATCCTTTCTATCCACATTGGAATCATCTATGGAACGAATTGTACTAGAAGTCTGTGGCGACATAAAGTTAGTATTTTGTCGAAATGTATTTCGCCCAGGTGTTGACTGTATAATGCTAAAGGTTGAGGAGCATTGTGAATTGGCTTCAACTGTAGTCAGCACAGAATTCCCCTGAAAAAACGTTTCTCTTATACCAAATGACAAATGTATAAAGTAAGTTAAAGCAATTACAAATTTTAAAAAAATTCATACATCTGCAGAACCAAATTGATTGTATTTTCCAGGAGTACTAAATCGCATGCGTTTTGCTGGAGGCTGAGTGCTGACAGGACTTTCTGGTGATTCATCTTCAGTGGAAGAGTCTGTGACATCAGCTGTTGGTGTTGCTCCATTAGCATTTGACGTACTAGGACTACTAAACCATTTAGTAATGGTACTTGGCAATAAGCCTGACATTCTTGCTGTCACATTTTTCACGAATGACTGCAAAAGGGATACAGAAGCTTAATAGAATTTAGTAAAAGAATACACTTCATTATTTTTTTAACCCTTTTAGTGCTGAGCTTATTTTCATATATTTCACAGAAATTGCTAAAGGATTTCGGAAAAAAAAATGTACGTTATCAATTATTAAGTGTGCAATCGTGATTATTTTTCTCAAATGTAGATGGATTTTCGTAATTCTTGCTGTTATGTGTAAAGGACATATCAAACTACTCAAATGAAACAATATTATTTTACTATAACTATATTTTTATTAGATAAAAAAACAAGAAAATAAAAAAAACATTGACATAAAAAAAATTCCACGCAAACCCAATGGACTCCCTTTTTAAAGCACCCACAAACTGGCGGAGATCGAGGCACTCCTTTTCCTCCTTTATTACTACACACTACACAACGGCGAAGCGTCGTCTCTGATAACTTCTCTAAGCCAAAAATTTGTTCAAATCTGGTAAGTGTATCTGGAATGTTTTTACTAGTTTTGATCACCAAAGAAGGAAAAAATTAATCAGAATATCCACTAGGCTTTTCAATATCGGCGGATAAATGTTTTGATCCAGATATTTCGAAAAAAGGAATTGTTTCATTGGAAAAATTATCTACAGGAAGTTGCACAAATATACCGGTATCAAGGTTGTCCAAAACTGTAGACTCGTCATCTGAAGACTACCAGTTTCGCTACAAATACGCATTCTTCGATTTGTAAACATTCTAATCTTATTGTCGCTGTAACTATTTTCATGAAGAGGAACATTTTCACTCAAAGATTCACAAGTATTTTCATCAACACTATTTGACAAATCTGACATTTTGCAAGTAGAAATAACTTTAACTTAAAAAAAAAAAAAAAGATCAATACATGAAAATAATTTTAAATAGTTATTTACAAATGTTACTAACTTATTAATAAATAATATTTAAAAAAAAACTTTCCCTTTAAAGAAAATCTAACTAAAAAATACAAATTAAATTTATTGTAAAAAAAAGAGTGGAGTGCATGGTATCAATAGTTATAAATATTTTATTAACAGATATGAGTAGAAGGATTATTCATTTTGATAATAGCTAAAAATCACCCCATGGTTTTTTTTATAATAGATTTATTTTGTATCTTTTAGTTGGATTGTCTACAAAAGTCTATTTCTTTGTTTTTTTTAAACTATCATTTATTATTCATTTCTTTAGGTTAAGTAGTATTATGTATCATAAGTTATTCATTAATGTACATTCACTCAAACACCACAGTTTCCAATTAGCTATGTGGAAAAAGAAGGCGCTCAAATTAATTTATTTGGCTGCCGAAAGTAAATAACGGGTCTTTTTAAAACATTGAATTGTCATCAGTCCTTGATAAGTACGCTAAATTTCGAGTTAATTCGAAGTTTTGAAGAGGGTCAAAATCAGGTCAGGTCAAAGATTCCGTTACATACATACTAACATACGTACGAAGCTAATAAAAGCGTATTAAAAACGTTATACATGCGCGCACTAAGACACGTCCGTGCAGCTCGATACCTACCAGGTGTAACGGTATGACAGCTTTTTTTTTTTTTTGGAAAAGAAAATACAATTTTTTTAATGGAAGTGTAAAAACATTTTTTTTAAAGTTATTCGCCATTGCTGGCTACACATTTTTCCCTTCTTTCATGCAATTTCTGGATTCCATGTCAATAAAACTGTTTGTCTTTTAATGCAATCCAATTAATTACCCAATTTTCGATTTTCTCATAGGAATCGAAGAGCTATTCAGGCAATGTTTCATCAATGAAAACAAATACTAGTCAAGGAAGGAGCCAAGTCTGGTGAATACGGTGGTTGGGGTAGCAGCTCCCAGCTTAATGCTTTGATTGTATCCTGAACCGGGTTTGCTTTGTGTGCAGGTACATTATCATGTTGCAATACTACCTGGCCGTATCTTTAGCCCATTCTGGTTGTTTTTCGATCAATGCATGGTTCAAATTGATCATTTGTTGTCAGTAGTGTACTAAATTAGATCACTAAATTTTAGGAGTTTATGATACACCACACCTTTCTGGTCCCATCAAATACACAGCATTGTTTTCCTGCAGAATCGTTCTAGTTTTACAGTCGAAGTTGATGGTTGTCCCGAATTAACCTGTTTAGGTTTCTGAAAAAAAATCAATTTTTCATCGCCAGTAAAAATCCGATGCAAGACTCGTTTTCTATTGTATCTTTGAAGCAAAAATTCACAGTTGAGTTTCGGTTTTGTATCTGTCTGTCATTTAATTCATATGGTACCCATTTTCCAGAATGGTCAGAAATTGTTTATTGTGCAACCCTTAATTGCCATTTGTTTCTGATTCAAAGTGTCATCTTCATCCAATATTGTTTGCAATTCAGTCTATTCAACAAACCATTTTTGGTAGTCTTCCACATTCTTCATTTCTCACATTAAAATCCTTATCTCTGAACCCTCGAAATGATCTCTTATAAGTTGCTTCTAATAGAGCATGATCACCATATGCCTCGACAACCATTTAATGCGACACTTTGTAATCGTCGTAGCCTAAAGGATAAGCCAACTGATGCATTTGTATTTAACGACGCACCGGTGTTAGAATTCCGCAGGCAGGTACCAATTTTTCCAGTGAAATACGTGGGCTGTGAGCTCATCTACCCATCTATGCAACAAAAAAAAAGGAAAAAAATTGTATCTTGACGCTCACTTCATACCGGTACACAGAAGGACATTCCCGGTCATCGTTCTCGTCGAACCCGTCGCTTGCGACGAAGGGCTCGATGAGTAAATTAACCCTCAGACACAGCCCACTGAGTTTCTCGCCGGATCTTCTCAGTGGGTCGCGATTCCGATCCGATGGTAGATTCTGCGAAGCACGACTCTTGCTAGGGTTCGGGTTAGCAACGTCGTCAGGTTTGAGCCCTGTGAGCTCACCTACTAGTTAAGGTTACGCTGATATAGCCTCTCAAGGCTCTCAGCTTAGGTAGGAAAAAAAAAGCGCAGACGGACTAAGCGCTACACACTGTAAACACATTAAAAGAGAGTAGATCTATTGACGGTTTGGACTCTAAGGGTTAAATAAATATTCCTTGCTCTAGCTAAATCAAACAATCTCACTAACAATGGTAATGCTGCTACCCACATTAGCTATGCTTTAAACCTCAATACCAAACGGCTTTACAGTAAAAACAGAACGAGTAATACGAGGGTGCCTTTTATGCTCGCGGAATGGGGAATATAGGATGGAAACAGAAAAATAAATTATTTTTGTTTTCTAATATATTCAGCTGCAAAAATACCTACGAATTCATGTTTCAGATCTTTCAATCAATTTGTTTATGGGTATAAATATGGTATATGTTATATATAATGGGGCATAAAAAATATTTTGTCTTTATCTTCAAAATAAACTGAAACTGCATGCTTGACTTCATCATCGGTGGTAAATTTCTTACCCCGCAGCTCTTTTGTCAGATTGGCAGATCAGCCGACGCAATGATGCTCTTGTGGACGGGCGCGTTGTCGTGCAAAAGCAGTACATCTTTCGTAAATTTTCCCCATCTTTTCTCTTTAATGACTTCTTTTAATCACTCTCATATTGAAGCGTAGTATTCTCTGGCTATAGAAACACCTTTATCTTAAAAATCGATCAATAGTATTCCTCCCGATGTCCCAAAAGACCATTGTCATAAGTTTCACAGCTGACTGTGACATCTTAAACTTTTTGGGTGACACTGCCTTTTTTATGCCACTATAACGATAAACTCATGTTTCGTCTCCAGTAACAATTCTACTCATTACACCATCTTTGTCTTCATTGCAGAGGTCCAAAAATGAATCTGAACACTCTAAACACTGTCACATTTGCGTTGACGTGATTATTCTCGGCACTCATCTTACGCTGACCTTAGTCATGCCAAGGTAATTGTGCAGGATTTTAAAAATAGTTGTATCAGATACTCCTACTATTTCTACGAGTTGATTGTCTTAGCATAGTTAAGACTTTTGAGATGAGTTCTAGCATGGCCACCTCCATGCTCATGCCTGATGGCCTCTGGTCGTTTTCAAGTGATTCCCTTCCTTGTTTAAATAAACTGTGTACATTTGTACATAGTTTACATTTGTACACCATAGTTTTTCCTGAGCAAGAGTTGTCGTAAACCAATGACATCTCATTCAGTATGATAGGAACTTATTTTCTTTACTTTTTAAGGAACTTTATAACTGCATGATATTTGATTTTATCCATATTACACTTTTCACTCCCAATTATGTTGCTTGGTTGACAATAGCTCAAAGACTACTCTGATAACAATGAAGCCTCATATTTATATTAATTATGAGTCACTAAATAAGTTACAATCTTAATGATCATAATCATCCCCCTCCAACTCTCATTGCACAAACTGAAAAACGCACCCTCATATTTTTACTTGTGTAGGTTCACAATTTTCACTAGTTCACTGATATTTTGCATATTATATTCTGTGTATTATATTTGGAGTAAGGAAGTTTAAGCCAACATTTTACAACTGCTCTCGGAAAGCAAATTTTAAGATCTGTTGAATAAATGTTCACTGTTCTCAGATGATCATATTTATTACAAGTGCATTTATTTGATTTATATCTAGTCTGGAGATGAACATGTTTTTTTTTTAATATATATACTAACAATCTACAGAAAATCTCAGAAATTTCTGCCAATGTCATGTGATATGTAGTGGCTCATTTACAATCTATTTACTGTCATGATACAAAAGAAATTTACAAAACAAATATTCTGGTATTGGAAATGGTGCTTTAAAGAAATAACAAACATAATAATTATATACAATATATAGTGAACTTAAAAAAGAATACTTATCATAATTGCATCTTGTTAGAAACTTCACTTAATAATTTATAAAAATACTTGATTTGAGATTGATGACATAATCAAATGTCAAGTTTTTGTTGAAGCAACAAACACATAATATAACCAAACATATCTATCTATAATGCCATCATCTAAACTACCTTTACATAATGTCCCCAAATCATTTGCCCAGCAGAAATGTAACTATTGTAAGACTATTATTAAATTTCTAAAGCCATGGCTTTGTGTAAGTGAGAGTTTGGACAAACTTATTTAGGTTTCTTTGTTTGCTGAACTCTGTTCAGGCCAATTGCATCAATTTACACAAGTCAGTTTTGGAAATATGAAGGCTTGGAAAGTGTGTTGAAATAACTTAAATTTCAGCTCTGCTGAATGAAGAGACTTTAAAAAAAAGTTCTCAATATCCTAATCTCTTGGTATCTACTATTCCTGAAAATCATTATAATCATGGGACATAGTTAGGAATAAGGCTTTGGACCTGATATAAAGTCTTAAAGAAAGGATAGGGAATCTTTGTTCAATACTTTGAAACTTGCTAAGTTAAATATAAACTAAAGGGACTTGTTTATCATCAATCTTATTGCAAAAAAGAGTCATAATTGAAAAAACTCGTATCATAATATGAATGGATGATCACACCTCATCAAATGGATGAGGGATCCTACAATAACTTTTTTTTTACTTTTGTTACCTATGTTTTAATATAATTTTTGTGCTATATATAACTATCAAAATAAGACAAGTTTTGAATCTAAGATGACACCAAGTGACTTCACATTTTACAGAATATTGTTGGGTTTTTCTTTTTTTTTTTTAAAGTAGCCAATAAGGGTTAATGTTACATAAATTATCATTATATGGCACTGGCAAAAACAAGTACTCTTGTCACTTATAATTATTTTTCCCTAGACCATAAAAAGTAAATTGTTTTATATATTTTTTGTTTATTTGCATGACAATTATATTTGAAAATCAAAATGTTAAAACGTAGTGTTTTAGTGTTTAAGGTTCTTAAATAGAAGGTCTTTAAGAAAAAATGTTATTTTTTGTCCAGAAGCTTTGATCTTTTTTTATGAATAAATCCAGTTTATAAAAACTTTAGTGTTTTCCTGTAAAGTTCATAAAATGTAATTAAAATAAATAGCTTTTCATGATATATGAACATGTGCATTGAACAGGCAAACTAAATTTCAACGAAACATATTTACCCTTGCAAAATTCTTCTACATTTAACTATATTTAAGATTATACTAAAGTAAAGTTCATGGTAATAATTAATTCATATAAGGTTCAAATGAATTAATTATTATTAGTAGCAAAAAAAAAATCTATGGGAGTAGATTAATTTTACTTGTGTTACAATTGAGGAAAAATCCAAAACCGAGTACCATATGAACTTGTTACTACAAGACGTGACTATCGCAAAAGCGAGCTTATCCGAATTCGCGATGACTCCACTATAGTATAAGCACCATTCGCTAAGCTGAACATGGAAATACAATAACGCGTGTGGAGTTTTTGTAGACTGAAAATATATGGAAATAGCAAAGCGCGTACTTACGCTGTTAGAATTGCCAGTAGAAGAACGCGTTCTCTTTTCCTTGCTTCTTGAAAACACCATACTCATTTTTTATCAACTTACAGCACTGATGAATACTTTCAATGTATCGTATTAAAGATCTAATTTCTGACTAAATTTATTCATAACTGGCAAAAACGTGACAAACATGGCGTCGTTAAAAGTGTCAGATTAAATGCTGTGCTCAACGGGAGGTCTAACAAATTTTCACGGCTCTTTGTGGGACGTAATAATCACAAAACATGAATGTCACTCGCCACCAATAAAACTTATTTATATTTGAATTCACTAATAATAAATTTAACGCAAAATTGGATGAATTTGAAGAATATTAACCAAAACTATCCATCCGCTGGCATTAAAATAATTTTTTTTAAAGTATTTTATGACCTGGTAACTAAGACCTTTAGGTCAAGTCTTTTTTAATTTATATTCTTATTTTTATGAAAAATGATAATATGGAGTGAAATGAAATGAAGACGATTAATTTGAGACATTAATCAATTGAGATGAAATTAAATTAAATGAGGTGATATGATAAGGGATTATATATAATCTCAAGAAAATGGTGGTCATTTACTGAGATTTTTTCAGTGGACTTTTTGGAGGATCTCGAGAAGCTACGTCCAGCAGCTTTGTTTCAATTTCCCACATTTGTGCACTTTCACAGATATTAAAAAGTTAATAAACCACCGTTATTACACATTTAAACCTGAAGAAAGACTAAATAGACAAAATAAAACAAATCACAGAACATCACTCCTCGCGTTCCCGGCAAAAAGTCCTCGCCAAATATATTAAGTGTATAATCTATGGTCTTCGCATTAAATTATATATATTTTTAAGGGATTTGAGGACCTGGTTACTAAGACTTTTAAGTCAAGTCTTATTTTAAATTATATTAAATTATCTATGGGTTATAACGGTAACCACTTAACATTAGGATATTCTTATTTTTATGAAAAATGATAATATGAAGTGAAATGAAATGAAATGCCTATTGCTAGAAAATGTAAGCTGTTCATAAGCATGCTCGTATTGACCATACTCAAAAGCACGCTTTTTAACATGCTATTTTAGAGCATGTGTAACAGTATCAGTGTAAAAGTAACAGTTAACAGTATCAGTACCGGTAGCAAAGTTAAAGAACACTCCGATAGAAAAAAGACAACTCCTTTCAAAACGAAGCACATCTTCTTCTCAGTCGCATGCACTCTTGGCAGAGTGGTCGTGATCATCACTTCGGGTGGTGGCGCGCTTCACCAGACGTCGCCGCGTCGCCATTCCTCGCGTACCGCGGCCCTTCTTGTGCACTCGTTAACGGGACCGTTTAGAGCTGCCTTTATTTGGTCGGTCCATCGAAATGGTGATCTGCCGCGCGGTCTTATACCCTATATCATGCCCTGCACCACAAAACGCTCAACTGAGTTGTCACCACGCTGCGACACATGCCCGAAGAAAGTGAGAATGCGACCCTGAACGATGGAGGATAATCGCTGCTTGATGCCGAGTTCCTGTAGAATTGACTGATTCGTTCTGAACTCCGTCCACGATATTTGCAGCATTCTTCTCCAGCACCACATTTCGAGACCATCTATCCTCTTTTTCTCACTTTCTCTCAATGTCCAGGTCTCAGCAGCATAAAGAAAAATGGGGAAGACCAGCGCTCTTACAAGTCTGATTTTAGTGGCTTTGGTGATATTTCGATTTCCCCATATTTTCTTCGGCCTGTCCATGGCTGACCTCGAAATAGCCATACGCCGCTTGATTTCATCCACGCACCCGCCAGTGTTCAGTGCACCTAAGTAAATGTATGAATGTACGACATCGCAGTTCGCAATTTTTGTGGCCTCTGGCCAGTTATTATTAGCACGATCGACAATCATGACACTTGTTTTGTGCAGTTAATTTTAAGTCGGAAATCAAGACTGACGCGTTCCACTCTACCGAGTAGCTCTTCCATCTGGCTGATACCTGACGCGACTAAAGTGATGTCGTCTGCATAACGAAGATTTAAAATCTTCCGACCTCCGATAGTTATTCCATCCGACCAGTTTTCGAGGGCGATTCTCATTATAAGCTCCGTATATATTATTATATTTAACAGGAGCGGTGATATAATACACCCTTGGTGAACTCCTGCGCTAGGGTGGAAGTTACGCGACAGAATGTCATCTATTCTAACTGAAGCTGTTCCTTCCTCATAGAGTCGCCTCAGCAGATGGACCAAGTTTTTGGGGGTACCCATGGCCAAAAGAGTGTCCCAAAGTTTTGGCCATTTGACAGAATCAAACGCCTTAGAGAAATCCACAAAGCATAAGTACGTAGGATTGTTGAATTCCCGGGATTTTTCGATGATCTGTCGAACGGTTAATATTTGTTCTCGTGTACCTTTACCCTTCACAAAGCCGGCCAGTTCAGGAGCAATTTCTTTAGAGAGGTATGATTTAAGGCGCTCGTTAACGATACGCAGCAATATCTTGCATGCGTGTGGAATCAACGCTATGAGACGGTAATTACTGCAGCTTCGAGCCTTTTGATGCAGTGGGACGAAAACAGTATGAACCCAGTCTTGGGGCCAAGTTCCAGACTGCCATATTTTATTACACAGGGTATGGAAAATTTCAACGCCATACTCCCCAGATGCCTCAATCGTTTCAATTGGAATGGCGTCCTTCCCTGTGGCTTTCCCTTTCTTAAGATGTTTTATTGCAGCTCTAACCTCATTCTTTAGAATGCTCGGCTCTATCTCTTCATCTTGAGGTGTTGTTGGATCGAAACAGTGCGAGTTAGGATCTTGAAACAGAGATTGGCAGTACTGTTTCCACGTTTCGGAAATATCCTCAAGGTCTGTTACTGTTGCACCTTGCGAATTCTCAATAGCCCATGTTTTTGAAGATAGAGTTTTAGTTAGGGATTTAATTTTCTGATGAAGATCTCGTTTCATGCTTATTAGCGTGTATTTCTAGTTCAATACAGAGGTTTTGGAGATACTGATTTCGGTCCCGTCTGCATGCCTCTTGTATCCGAGCTGATTTAGCATTTAAGGTCTTCAGATCAGCTCCCGATGTCTTCAATCGTCGTCGTTCCTCTACAAGAGCAAAGGTATCGACACTCATCCAGTGTTGACGCTTATGAGTTTCATTCGGTACCTTTAATGCAGAGAGTGCAGACTGCTCGGCGCTAGTAGGTGAGCTAGTAGGTGAGCTCATGGGGCTCAAACCTGACAACGATGCTAACACGAACCCTAGCAAGAGTTGTGCTTCGCAGAATCTACCTTCTCAGTGGGTCGCGAACCCGTCGCTTGCTGCGAAGAGTTCGGCGAGTAAACTAACCTATTGACACAGCCCACTGAGTTTCTCGCCGGATCTTTTCAGTGGGTTGCCTTTCCGATCCGATGGTAGATTCTGCGAAGCAGTAGGACTAGTGTTAGCCACACCTCCAGGTTTGAGCCCCGAGAGCTCACCTACTCGTTAGGGTTACGCTGATATAGCCTCTCAAGACTATCAGCATAGGTAGGTAGGGAAAAAAACGATGGATGACACATACTTCCAACTCTAGCTCTTGTAGCTTCGAGACCGTCGGCTGTTGTGTCGTATGAGGTCGAAGGTTGTTGTATAGGAGCAGCGGGAACAAGCAATTAAACAGGACTGGCGGGATATTAGCGATCTTCTCCATCATTGTATCCAGTTCCTTACAATACACATCGAAATTCTGTTATGTAGGTATATATATGTATAATATATATAATATGTATAATAATGTGTCCATATTGATTAATAGATACAAATGTGGTGAATACAAACACTAATCGATGAACAAATGAGTGAATTAACAAATTCCGTATTTATAAAATAAAATTGGTGGCCGAGACCTGGAGCTTATAGATGGATGAGCAGCATATTCTTACTGGAGTAAGTAGTAAATAAACGTATTATCGCCGAAGAAGGCTGGCTGGGTCGTGAGTGACCGCGGTATATCACTGATAGTCAAACTCTCGGATCGTTTGGAGCCTCTGGGTCTGCGGAGGGACTTCGGTTCCCTCTGTATTTTGTACCGTATGTTCCATGGGGAGTGCTCTGAGGAATTGTTCGAGATGATACCACCATCTCGTTTTTACCATCGCACCGCCCGCCACCGGAGTAGAGTTCATCCATACTACCTGGAGCCACTGCGGTCATCCACAGTGCGTTTCCAGAGATCTTTTTTGCCACGTACCATCCGGCTATGGAATGAGCTCCCCTCCACGGTGTTTCCCGAGCGCTATGACATGTCCTTCTTCAAACGAGGCTTATGGAGAGTATTAAGCGGTAGGCAGCGGCTTGGCTCTGCCCCTGNTTCTATTTTTTTGTAAAATTAGTTTAAGCTGATGGCCGTGTTGCCAATGCTTTCAATAAATTAAAAAAAAAAAAAAAAAAAAAAAGTTCCTGGTTAGAGGCCTCTCATTATGAGCATGCATGACTTCATGATGATAAGATATGAAAACAGAATCGAACAATAAGTACCGAAGAACTTTTCTTTTGAAAGTAAGTATGCTATATGCATACTCATGTATGTACAAATTTCGATGAATACAAGTGTGTGTAAAATTAAATTTATATGATATTGGAGCCAATAGATTTATTTATATTAAAATTACAAGCACCAAAAATACAAAACAGTAAAAGGCATAATTTAATACAGTGAAAGATGAAATATTTTACAGGAAAGAAACATTTTGCCAACATTTTATCTTTATAAATGGCAAAGGCTACATACAATCAATTCCTAATTTTGCCCCCCTTTCATTCTGAATGCTTCCAGACATAACAACAAAGTTAAATAACAAATTTAAATAAAAACTACGATATTGCATTCCCTTCATTATTTTTGTTGTTATAATCTCTGTAATCAGTAAAGGCATGATCCATGCTCTTAATTTCGCAGTAAATGTTTTGTTGTATTGATCATATACTTAATATATAATAGATATTCGAGCAGTATAAGAGCATAACATACGTAAAAACAAATCCATCCCCTATGGAAGGGGGAAATGCCATTACAATTTCTTCCAGAATCTGTTAAGTTTGTTGCAATGCTGCAGTTTCACATGTGTTCTTGATTTTACTTCCCAGTGGCCCTTGACGCTTTATATTATTTATTATATAACCTGGCATTTTACTAGTAGTTATGTAATGAGGATTGATACAATTTAATGGCTTCATGGTAGGTACCTAACATATAAAATATCTTTAATCAAACAAAAAAAAGGCAAATTTTAGTTTAATTTTTTATTTCTTCTGGAAGTATCTCCTTCATATTGATATTTAGGGTTAAAAACTATATTATTATGCTCGTAAGAATATAAGGAAACTATTTCGGAATGTAGGCTCTTTCTATTCGAACATCGTCTACGGGGCAATCATTTTTATCACACTCTACTAACCCAATTCTCTTGACAACAGTCATTCCGTTTTGCACTCTGCCAAAAATCGTATGTTTACCATCAAGCCATTGTGTTGGAGCCAATGTTATAAAAAACTGTGATGCGTTTGTATTAGGACCAGCATTAGCCATAGACAATATACCTGCACCAGCATGTTTTAAATCTGATGTTATTTCATCTTTAAAGTGTGGTCCATATATTGATTGTCCTCCTTTTCCTGTTCCAGTTGGATCACCACCTTGAATCATGAAATCTCGAATAACTCGATGAAATTTAGTGTTGTTGTAATAGCCTCGACGTACCAATTCCATAAAATTTCTGCATGTCAAAGGTGCATGTTTCCAATACATTTCCAACATAATTTTTCCCATTCTGAAATTGATAACTTATATTTTATAAATTGTCAGTTTTATATTCTTTCAATAAATGTTTTTATTAAATGAGTGTTGGTCATGGATATATAATTGTTAAAAAAAGAAAACTGGTATTTGCCATAAAAATTATAAGTATGTAGGAAATTGTGACTTTATTGCGCCTTTCATATTTTATTGATTTGTTAATTTGGGTAGATGTGCTCAGTCTCGATGCGATCTTACAAAATCTGCACCAAGCCTGTTATATTATTACCTAAGCCAATAGACACGATTATGATTGCCAATATCGGCTTTGCCACAAGGGCGAAGATTCAGTAGAAAATCAAATGCGTATTTTTATATAATGAGAGAAAACAAAGTTGCAAAACTAACAGGATGCATAAAACTTGACCTACTTCTGTCACATGTCATTAGGAATATTTAAAAAGGGCCAGCAGTCAGATGCCAATTCTAATGTGAAACATATTTTGTTGTCTGTAATTTACTGGTTAATATTGTGACCGTGTTATTTTTAATATTTTATTAATCATCATCATCAGCCCATAGACTTCCACTGCTGGACATTGGTCTTTCCCAATCGACACCCTTTGAAGGTCATTGCACTGCAAAATTAAGGAGTGTCCCACATTAAGTTTGCTGCTATACAGTCTTCTCTAAATTTTACTATGAGTGTCAATAATTTTGATTCTCTATTTCTATCAAGGTAATCTTATATTGTACTGTTCTGTTTATCATCTATATATATGGTTATTTTTTGTTGGTGCTTAAGTGATATTACATTCGTGGTTTAGTGAACAGATTAATATATAAAATGGTCTCATCAACCACCATAGTTTGTTAAATTAATACCAATAAAATAAGAAAATACTCTAAAAAGTTAAACAAAGAAAGCTCAATAACCTTTAAGAGTTTTGGATGTGCCTATTGATTGGAATTAATCACCAGGGCCGGATATAGGGGAGTGCAACCGAGGCGAAGCCCCGGTGCCTCCACGGACCGACGGCCCCGACAATAGAGACTAGATAAAAAATCTTTCAAATCCAACAACTAAACACTACTAAACATCTTTTCCTTCTCCTTTGATATTCTTTTTTTTATTGTTTCACTGTTACCTACAGTACTTTGTACATATACGATTATTTTATTGTTCAGTATCAGAAATAATTAATCTATATTTGTTCACTCCAATCAGGCAATCAGTAAAATATCGAAATCTCAAATAGCCCTGATAAGCACTTGAAATTTACTACCCCTATGTGGATAAATACGGAAATAAGGAACAAAAAGAGAATGTAATTCGAACCAAGTATAATCACAGCAAAATACCAGAGATGTACAGTGTGGACAAAATGTATTAAACTGTTGTCTTGCATAATGATATAGATCACTGCCATTTGAACTTTACCAAATGTGTATAATAATATCTGACCTGAATTAATAAAACATTTAAATAACTTAAGTTATTGTAAAATTGTTTAGTAAATATTAGTGCTTTGCAGTGGATACACCTAGTATTAACCTCATAATAAAGGAGGAACAGAAAATGAAGGTACTTGAACGACAATATTTTATGCAGTGTAACAACAACAACAATGTCAAGAGATGCAGTGTGAAGTTTTCACATTGTTTATCGACTTCGAAAAGGCATTTGACAGTGTCGGTTGGTCCAGCATTTGGACTGTTTTGAAGAAAAAAGGCGTGCTCGACAAGCTCATAAATGTCATAAAAGCGCTTTACTATGGATCGTCGTGTAGAGTGCTCCACAGGGGAAAACTCACGGATAATATCGTGGTCACCGCAGGCGCCAAGCAAGGATGCTTGCTGTCTCCCTTGCTGTTTATAGTAGTGCTTGATGATGTGATGCGCAGAGTCACCTGTAAATGCCGACAAGGACTGCCTTGGACCGCGGATGAAGACCTAGAGGACATCGACTTTGCTGATGACATTTGCCTCCTAGCAACCAATCGGCAGCAGCTACAAAACAAAGCAGATGATCTAGTAGATGAAGCTGAAAAGGTAGGGCTGCGTATTAATTTCTCAAAAACAAAAGAAATGGGCATAAATACCACCGATTCGGCTCCTATGTCGATCAAAGGGAGGCACATCGAGCAGGTGGGAAGCTTCTGTTACTTGGGCAGCATTGTGGACGATAGGGGAGGCACCGGCAGACCGTTTAGTCAACTTAGACCAGTGTGGAGTTCCTCAACCTTAACAAGACGAACAAAGGTGAGGATCTTTAACTCAAATGTAAAGTCTGTATTGCTGTACGGGAGCGAAACTTGGTTTGTTCGCAAGGACTTGATCAAGTGTTTGTGAATAGGTGCCTGCGTCAGATTTTGAAAATCTTTTGGCCTGAGAAGATCACTAACAAAGAGCTGTGGAGGATCACTAAGCAGACACCAATGGAGAAGGAGATCCTTACGCGGAAGTGGCATTGGATTGGTCACACTTTGAGAAAGCCCGATACCCACCTATCAAAGAGAGCACTGACCTGGAAAGTGTCTGGCAAAAGGAAGAGAGGCCGCCTCAGAACAACTTGGCGTCGCTCGGTGGAGCAGGAGCTAGGGTTCTTGGGCATGACGTGGGAGGAGCTAGAACAGACTGCCCAAGACCGATATAAATGGAAAAATTTGATTCGAGCCCTACACCCCAGTAGAGGGTAATAGGAAAGAATGATGATGATGATGAACAACAACAACTACGGCACTTTATCATAATACTACTAAAGTTGACACAGATTACTTGCTCTGGCGATGCTCGACTTCTGCGAGTCCACCATCTCGCAGAAGGAGGCAGCGGAACCGGAGAGGGAGAACCGCCGCCACCGTCGAGTCAGGGGTCGGAGGAGGGCGTTTGTCCAGCTCCGGCCCCTATGAGGAGGCAGTCTCCTCCCGGTGATGGTCACGGGGCGACCTAAGGGGGTTGAGACTGCGCCGCACGCTATAGTCACTCTAGCGCGCTGGCACCAGGAGGACTGGGCGACGCGTCGACGACTGCGGACTGCGATGCGGTCCGCATTGTCGTCGTCGCTGTCGTCGCCGAACATACTGTGAAAGAGCAGGCTGGTTCTGGCCCAGCGGGGTATGCCGGAACAGCAGCGGCATCGCCCGGGCGGCCTGGTAGGGCCGCCGTACCGCGGAGACCGACGTCGTTGGTCGTCGACTATCGCCTCGACGACCCGTCGGTCGGGCGTCCTCGGGATGGCGCCGCGTGTCTGGTTGTAGTGTTGACCGCGGGAACCCCCCTACTCTGGCCGGGTTTTGACCCCAGACGAAGATCGGACGTCGTTTTTGCAGGGGAGTCGTTTAGTGGGTGGGCCCTAAAATTCCTTGGGCCCTCGGTCTGCTCTCAACAACTGCAGATCGTTGAGTCTCACATAACCCGCGCGCCCCCTAGGCGCGGGGACCTTGCAGGAGGTTCAGCCCTCGGCCCGAAAAAAAGAAAAGATTACTTGCTCTTGCAATGGTAATGTTTTTTGAACATTTGCATGTATGCTTAATTTCTTCCAATTAACTTTTTAATGGATTTGAACATTTGGGATATCTTTTGATTAATCTCAATTGTGAGAGTGGCATACAGTATATAAAACAATGCAATATTTAATACAAAAAAGTCATAGTTTCTCATTCTATAATATTTATCAAAAAACGAATTTTGAGAGATCTAAAACATTGTAAACCAAGCTTAGTAGAAATACAGTAAAGAAAGTGTTTTGATACATTAGTGATTTTATTGTTGCATGATCATTCATATAATAATATAATAATAATAATTATTATTATGCCGTCGCTTCTCTTTTCATTCAAAGAAAACAGTGGCCGAAATGATCAAGGGCTCCAAAAATGAAAATGAAATGAAGTGTCTGGATTGGTTCCCTTTCTAAAAAGACGGTGATTTCCACATTCAGGAAAGCCTCCAAAGGCACTGAGTTGGAGGCATTGCTCGATGAGGATATGTAGCAAAAGCAAGATCAGCTTGCTTCAGCATTATTACTAGCCAAAGCTATATCCAAACCATTGCATGCATTGGGAATGATTCAGAAGGAAGTAGCTTGGGTTCTTTATGAGTTGAAACCAAGAGATAATGAGCATTATCTTTTCCGTGAATAAAGGATCCAGTGGTGTAAAAGTAACAGTTTTCTTCATCACATCATGATAAGTGATGAAAAGTGGATTCAATACAGCAACCCAAAGAGAAAAGTATCTTGGGGACTGTCCAGTCACACATCTACATTCTCGGGTCAGCTGAATATTCACAGTGCAAAAGTTATTTTGTGCATTCAGTGGAACTAAGTCGGTGTTGTTGATTATGAGCTGTTGGATCTAAACAACATATTCACTAGGGAACAGTATTGAACTCAATGCAATGAAGGCGAGCACTATACAAGTATAAATTATCACGATACCATCAAAGGTATGATAAAATAATAATTCTCTTGCATGACAATGCTGTCTCATGTTGCCAAAACCTGCCTGGAAAGGCTAAGGGCACGACTTGCCCCACCCACCATCTGATTATTATTTGTTCCGTTTGATTGGACATAGTTTAGCTGATTAATAGTTCCGGTCATATAGAAACATGAAGTGTGAAATAGAACGAGTTATTATGTATACTTTTTTTGGTTACAATTAGAATTCAGAATGGTTTTTGTTTCATTCGTGATTTATAAGATTGCAATCTTAAAGGCGGATATTACATATTTATGATATCTATTACAAATGTTGGATAAATGGTATTAGTTAATGTTAAAGTTTTGAATGACTTACGTCGTTTCAATTACAACAACGGGTGGTTGCCATGATTTATCCGGTATACCGGCATTCGAATAACCTAGCATGTTCTTATTTTTATCTTGTACAGTAGATAACTCAATTTACTCAATAAACTAAAAACCTACATAGATATTAAATAGCGTACACTCCAATTTTTTTTGCATAGATTTTAAACTTTAAACTTAGTTGAGAGTTGTTTGATTACTTGAACCATAGATAATACAGAATGTGTTACAGACATAGAGTTACTATTCTAACTGGAGTGCTTACTTCGTTTGACATAAAAACTAAAAATATACTTTATCTCTATGGCTTAAAGTTTATTTTTAAATAGCAAAAGATGTAAGGAAAAACGGTCTGAAAAGAGAATGATTATTAAGTGGTGGTGTCCCTCTCGCACATTTTACAAACAAAAAGCAGTGTTGCTAGCTTAGAGGATTTTCCATAAAATCTCGGAATTTGGACCCCCGTCTTAGTTATCAAAAATGGCTTTTAGTGGTTAGTGGATTTTTTAGTAGCTTGGGCGTTGTTGAAAATTATTGAAAAGGTTAAAATCAATCCACTTTACAGGATTTTAAACATTTTATGACAATAATATATCTAAATACATATTATTTAAACGATGTGACTTAAACTTAACTAGAAAATATTGCGACAATTTAGAATTTCCATCAACGTCAAAAATTAAATTGGTTCAACATAAACGTACAAAGTTATGGTGAATTTATTTTCTGATGATGACAATTTATTAAAATAAATTATATAAGAAGTATTGATTATATGATATATATTGATTTTTAATAGAACATCATATATTAATAAAGCTCATTAACAAAAAAAATATTGTTCTATATTAATAAGAACTCTGTTTAATGGAAAATTTTATGGTAGGTACGTAGATTTCTGATGGTTTTCATGTTGAATTTGGTGGGAAGCCAGATTAATTGTTGGCATCACCGAAAAAGAGCTATGAATGGATTAAAAGAAAAATGG